AATTAGAGAATAATATCGAATTGAAGATGTATATGCGATTGATTAAATTTTCGTTCGGTTTGGTATTTAATTGGTTAATATTTTTCTAAAAATTTTTTCAATATATGGAATTTTCCATATATTTTTCATTATGATTTTTCTAATGTTCCATGGCATGCTTCAAATATTTTTAAAATATAAAATATTGTATATCGAAAAAAAAAATGTTGTTACGATTTTTAATATTGGATTTATTGAAATTTTCATTCGAATCTGATAAAAATATTTCACATTTCATCTTCTATCAGTTGTGATAATAAACTGGTATTTTTTTAAAGATAGGAAAGAGTGTTGTTATGTCACATTTAAAATTAATCCATATATTACTAAAAATACGAAATTTCAAAAAGTTAAATATCGTTCGAAATAAACATCCTTAGGCGAAGATTTATCACGGTAAAAGAAATAAAGAAAATATTCCAATTAATCTAACGTATCGTATTTTTGTACGTATACAAATCAAGTGAATTTTAATGAAATTTCACGTCACTCTTTCGAATCAAAATTGTAACAACAAATTTATCGATTTACAAACGAATGAAAAATCTACTCACAATCAACCGAGACTCTGATCTGCTTGCTAACAGTCGGAGGGACGCCATTTGTCGCGATGCATAAATAAACGCCCATGTCCAGTCTCGAGATACGTGTGATTTCCAGCATCTCGCCATCCCATTCCATCACTGAAAATGATAAGCGACATTTTATAACGTAACAGACAATTCTCTTTCTTCTCCCTTTCCTTTTTTTTTTATTCTCCTTCTGTCGTGAAATAACCACTCGACGAACTCTAAAAGCCTCGAAATCGCCTCGCTAATTTTAATTAATTGACAAGGCAACGAGCAGAGGGGATGGAAGGAAGATTGTGAAAAAAATACGAAATGAATTTGTCTCCGTATAAGTTCGTTCTATTATATCCAGAAATATATTTATATATTTCGAATTGATTCGTATACTATATATATATATATATATAGTTGATTCTCAAAAATATACAAATATACTTCTTTTTTTATAGAAAAACCAAAAGAATACGATCGATATTTTTATCGTGATTGGTTTTTATTCGATGAGAGAAATTAATAATTATTGATCATCAATTTTATATAAATATCTGACAATGTGATAAAGAAAGTTTCAAAAATTAATTTGCAATCGGCTCGATATTAAAGATTTTAAAAACTCTTCGAGATCTTTGAAGAAAGAAAGAAATTTCGTTAAAATTGGTCGAGATATAATTTATTTATCTATTTAAATATTTGCATCGATAAATTAAATATTGAAAGTAGAGAATATATATATAATTTTCACAAGTGCATTACGAAATTATTCACCGATCCTCATAATGTAACCTGTATCATACAACTTATTTTCACGACACGTCGTTAAATTGAAATCCTGTATTTTCTAGAAATACACGGGCCACCTAAATTTCTTAATCACAGTTTAACCAATCCTCTCTACAATGTTATATTCATAATTTAACCTCGTTCGCAGATACAGATTTGGTTTATCACTTGGCGGACACGTTAATTACAAATTCCCTTTTCCAACTTCAAACTTGTCACGCATATTCAATATATGCGCGCGTAACTCTACTCGTCACGTGTTTAATGATTTCTGGCCTCAGAACCGGAATTAAATGTTTAATCTCTCCGAAAAGCAAGAATCATCCAACCACTATCCCCTCCCCTCCCCTCCAGAAACACGTCAATCTCCGCGAAATCAAATCCTCGAGCGCCTATTTCAAGTTCCATCCGCGCTGCGCCACCCCTTATTCACCCCCTTTATAAATTAATACGCGTTCTGACCCATGAAAATATGCATAAAAAAAAAAGAAAAAAAGGGACAGAGAAAAAATACGCGAAAAAATTCGTGTCGTTCTTCGAAATCCAACGTAATTACGCGTTACAAAATTCTCATCCTGGTCGTTAACGACATCGAATTCATGACATTTCCTCGTGTCCTCGGAATTACGTGACGCGTTAATGAGGAATATCCTTTCTCTCGCTCCTTTTTTTCTTTCTTTCTTTTTTTTTTTTTTCCATTAAACGCACTATCGTCGAACAAGCTTTCGTTTTTCGTATTTCTTCTCCTCTGCTCTTCTTCTCACGAGCAACCGAGATTCGCGCACGATCTTCCCTGTGATTACGGTATAACACAGTTTTTTGAGGTGACACGCGTTTGATCTTTGGACAGAAACCAGACGAATGTCATTATTTTTAATTGCCGCGCGCAGCAAGGCTTGCAGAATCATAGATCGATCATGTCGAATGTCGAATTTTGAAACGATGATACTCAAAATTTATATTAAATTATCGTAAAACTTTTCTTTTTTTTGTTACTGTAAAGATATTTTATAATTTCATTTTTCCAACGAGTAATAACGATTGAAATGGACGAGTATCCATTCGTGAGATTTTATTTTCTAATGTCAGATTTTTTTTTGTCCATTATTCTATCTTTTCAAATGATCGATTTGTTTGGAAAATGTTCGAGACAATTTATAATCTAATCAGCCAATTTCGTAGTGTTATTAGTCGATAAATTTCGCAAAAAAGTCAGAGATTTAACTGATGCATTTTTGAAAAATCAAGAAAAATCGAACGTCCCGATATCGATGAGAAATAAACTTTACGTACTTTTTTCGAATCGTAAATAAAAATTAACTATTAACAAATATACCTCGTATAATACTTTCCTTTCAACGAGTGATAATTACCGTAAAAAACGCAACAAAATATTCATTAATTCATGGTACCTTATATTTACACCAATTAAAAATCGCCATTTACGCCGTGTTATTTCAAACGTAACGAGAGGGGGAGAGGAGAAATGTAAAAACAGAACCATAAAAATAAAAGAGAAAAACACTCGAAAGGAAAGAATAACATATCGAAAAAAATAATCATTGGCGGAGTACCGTCGAAACAACGAAAACAATTTAACGTTGAAGTATCCTACTGTAAAATCGAAATACAACACAACTGTGTCCCTGTTGTTATAACAATATTAAATTATAATTTCGTGCCAATTTGTAACATCGCAATAATAATATCGCACGGTATTATTATTACACCGCCAAGTTGTAACGCCGTAATAATATTTGTTCACGGCTAATGGAATGGATTTACTCACCGGAATAAGTCTTGTTAATTGAAATCATCGAGCCGTCGTCTCTTTTCCAGCTTATGGTCGGTTTCGGGCTTCCTGTCGCTTTGCACGTTAGCGTCACGTTCGCGCCTTCTCGCACAATGACGTCCGACGAGGTCTGGTAGTCCTCTATATTAGGAGGCACTGCGAACAAAAACATGTTTTCATGTAATGCCTGCCCCCCTCGACAGCAATAACATTGTAACTGCTTTGTATCAATGAGAAATACACAGACGAATTCAAGGCTGAATCCTCGAATTTTCGTTGTACATCGATAATATGTATTTAAACGGAATATATTATTTTTGAACATTTACGCTTTTCTGCTTCTGAAGAGTAATTTTATGCTGTTTAATTCGAATCGAATCCTCAAGATCAATATATTTCCTTTTCCAGAAATATTTATAATCGAAAGTTATTAAGAAATATTACAGAGAAATAATATAGAATGTTTCAAGATTTTTAAATGCTGATTTAATAAAACAAAAAATTGTCAATTAATAAGTTTCGTGGTTTAATTTTATTCGGAATAATTTGATAAAGACCCCTTTTTTTTTTATGTTCAAAATAATATAAAAATATGATCCTAGAGAAGAAAATATATACGATTTATAATTTTTAAAATGATAACGTTAAGTCGATATTTTATTCTACGATACATACGAGATATGAAAACTATCCCTAAATCGAAATTCTTATTATCCAATCAAAATCTCCTTCGCTCAACCTCTCCACGATCGATTGTAATCTCCTTTAAAAAATCAAATTCCCCTTTTCATCCAGCAGAAAGCGTATTCGAGCAACGTCGGTCGAATGCCTGTTCACGAGGCACTTCAATCACGATCAACGGTTTGCGCGATCTCGCAAAAAGAGCCTCCTTCCAAAAGGTGGAGGCGTTGGTCAGATCCGACAGCGGTCACAATAATAAAATTTGCATGACACAGGCTCCGGTTCGAGTGGACCGGGGTCGAGAACGCTTCAAAGAACGGGCCAGAAACCTCAAGAACCTCGAGCAAGAAGTCGTGAATGCCATTCTTTCATATGCAAATCGAATTCAAAGTTTGAGAAAAAAAGAAAAAAAAAAAGGAAGAAGAAAAGAAAAGAAAAAAAGGAAAAAAAAAGAAAGGAGAAAGAAAGAAGGTCGATTCGACGAGATTGCAAAGGAGTTTGAAGACGATGGTTAGAATCCAGTTACAACCACGGAAACGTTCGAAAGGGTGGCGTGAAGGGTGGTAGAACGAGACAGAAGGGCGACAGATAAGACGAGGAGAGAGGAAATCTCCGTTAAAAAGTCGTAATCACCGGCGATAAGAGGCCTTTCCAACCGAGGAAGAAATGTTTCCGAGAACAGGGGGTTTGTCGCCTCGAGGGTTGACGATGGCTCGAGAACGCACGATTGAGAAAGTTTTGACGGAAGTTTCGTTCATCACGTTTTTCGTTCGATGTTACCAGATTAAATGTTTTCATAGGGATGAAGATTTGTTTCTTCTTATTTTCGCCCTTTTTAATTCGTAATTGTTTGCTCGCCGCTTTAAAGAATACTTTTTCCTTTTCACGAACGATGCGAGAGGGGGTTGATTTACTTCCGAATCGATACATCCGGTATTTTTATTCCACTGTTTTTCTTCCTCTGAAATTTTCCGAAGATCATTTCTAAATATTCGTAACATATTAATTTTATAATTTAGTGTTGAGTTATGAGAACTTAATCCACAAGAAAGCAACAGGTTTGCGAAGGAATGCAAGGTTCCTTTGAAGATTGGCAAGTTGAGTCACGAGATTATGAAGCGATCTTTTTTCCTGTCTATGGAAAATAATTTTTTACGGATTATTCAAATATTAAGTACTTAAAGCAAACACTCGTACATTTTACATTTAATGTTTTGCATTGTCAATATTTTTAATCGATAAATTAAGGAATATCATCGAAGCAATTTTCTTCCTTTAGAGGACTATTAGATTAATCCTTTTATGGATTTTCACGTTGTGAGAGGAATTTAGGGGCTCAGACGATAGTTTTACAAGGATAATGAGAACTGTCTGTTTCATCCTCGATTACGTTCCCTTCTTCTTCGATAATTACTAAATCAACCGGGCGGCGGGATTACACTTGAAATCCTGTGTGTTCACGTAATAACCGATCAAAAATCCTTGTTTCCATTCCGGCGAATACTCATTACGAAAGATGCGAACGGTTTATCGAAGGTAAACGTGATAACACGGAACCGATACCGCCGCAACGAGATTGTCGACTGTAATTCAAACGGCGATAAGGCGAATGACCATAATGAAATTTCAAGCAAATCCAATTTCGATACCAATCGCTGATTATTGTCATCAAAATGACAAAAGTGGAGTAGCAAAGTAAAACTTGCGATAAATGAACAAGATGCTGAAATATCTTTTGTTTATCCAATGAATATTAATTTTTAGAAAGAATAGATATTGTTGAACCTCGTATAAAAAATTTCATCCTATTCTTATTCTTCTCTATTCCTCTCTATTCGTATCGGTAATCACATTTTTGGAAAATAAATTTTCTCTAGAGATATAAATTTACCATGTATTTTCGAGGGAAGCATATTTAGAAATGGTCTATCAATTTCGAAAAAATGTAAATTATATTCGTATTTTTCTTATATATTCTTATATAATAGTACTGAAATCAAATCCTTTCTTTTTTTTTTTTTTTTTTTTTTTGTTTAGGATATTATGTGATATAATGGCCAATCATTTCACGATTAGCATGATTAATGATTTGATGTATTCAATCTGGCGTCAGTCATCGGTGATTTGCAATAATCAGAATTCGTGTCATTCGATATTATGTATTATTAATGGACATTATAATGTATTGTATTTCCAAAAGTATAATGTTAATCTCTCTCATAAATAATTATAACTCTAATAAAATAATACTTTTGTTAACGAAGCAATATATTATTAAAATTTACCTAAAATGTTAATTTTATCATATCATATAAATAATTGATATATATTATTATGTATTCTTGAAAGTTAAAATAATAATTGCATCAGGATTATCTTATTCTCTTCTAACGAGGGTGCAGGCAACCCCTCGTGCCAAAATATAGTCAACTCATCGGCGAGCCTCATACCTCGTCGAAGATATTCCCTATGGACCTGGTTCCTGTTCCTAACGACCATTACTTCCCTTTTATAACCCTCTTCCTGTCATATCTCTTAAAATTAAGTAAAAATGTACACTTTCTCGCTATACTCCATTATAACGAACAATAAAGAGAACTAATTGCGAGCATAATTATTAATTTGCATTTTTTTCTAATTTAAAAAATAAGATGTCACGATCTTTAAAAATTTTCCACCTCTCTGAACTCACTTCTCTTTACTTTAAAGATGCCAATTGCGCTTGAAAATAAAACTCTCAAGGCACTCTGCGTTAAGAATAACGAATTCGAAAACAATTCTCGATAGTTTGATTCTACCTCTTCGAATCATTCAGCTTTATTACTGTAAAATAAAAAATTCGAAATGGAATAAACTCCATCGTTTCCTCGCGACGCGATGCAACTTCCAACAATTAATTTTTAAAAATGGGATACGAAGAGAAGACGAGGCTATATTATCCTTCGGATGGACCAACGTTAAAGGAAACAGATAAGAATATTTGAGGACAAAAGGAAGCACTTTCGCGTTATTAAAATCGTATGAACGTAGACTCATTTTCCAAGGAAGGCTCGTTAGTCCTTCGAATAGCTATCAAGAAATGCACGCTGTGCTTGAAAAAGATACACCATTAAAAATTACTACAGCGTCAAACTGACAAGAGGAGTACAATGTTGTTGACAAAAAAAAAAAAAAAAAAAGAAAAGAAAAATAGAAAAAAAAAGGAACGCTTGATCGAATCGCTTTTGTGCTTGAGAACAAGGAAGAGGACACTTTGTTCCTCGATTCTTTTGATCCTTCAGCTTTTTTTCTTTCTTTTTCTAGCTCTAGCTCTCATTTGCCTTTAATCAGAGGGCAATAGGGGTTGGTGGATTCATGAAAAGCTAATGAAATTTTTTTGAAAGCTGAAAACATTGAAATGAGATGAGATGATTGTGGGATAATGAAACATTATTTTAAGGATATGGAAAAATGAAAGATTATTTTTAAACGATGCTCTAAACATTTAATCTACTGTTTTATGAAGAAATAAAAAAATCAAGATTAAAAATATCAAATTGAAAAGTTATTTCTATGGAAGATTATTTTCAAATAATCTTTTGATATTTCACTTATTGCTTTAAATGCGAATCAAAAGATCTTTAAAAATATCAATCAAAGTTTACTTGTCAACACAAAAATGAATACACTATGGAGAAATAAAATATTAATTTCAAGTAATATCTGGAATTTGATATTCCATTATCTTATATGCAAATCAAGAGAAAATACGTAAAAATATAAATCGAAGTTCGTTGACTCGTCGGTATAAAAATGAATCTCACAAACGTTTAACTTAATTATATCGTCACGATGCTTTTTCGCAGTCTTCGAAGAATTGACAGATCGCCATTAAAGTGGAAAATGAAAAATTCATGATGTTAAATCGGAAACGAAAAGAGAAAGTCAATATGTCGAACATTTGAAAATTGTTATTTGCACTATTACTAATGAAAAATCGATAAATATGTTAAAGATGAATCGAGGACAAGAGTTAAAATATCTTGATTCGTGAACGTCAATTATTTATCTAATTACAGAAAAATTAATAATACATATATATTTTCTTTAATAATATGTTTGGAACATTTTCTTACAGAATGAATAATTTGCAAATTACTTAGTACCATTGAAATACTTTGCATATAGAGAAATTTTAACACGTATTTGATAATTTGCTCTTCGTAAAGCAAGTTTCATTATCACGTTTGTTTAAAAGAAATTGAAATAAAATATTTGACTAATCAATCAAAATCAATTCAAATTAAATGTAATTGTTATTATCTCACTCAATAATTTTATGAAATGCAATCTAATATTCCTACAATAATTAATAAATTACAACCAAAACGACCGCAGGTTTAACCAAATCCTCCCCCTCATATTATTTTTAACAAATATAATTAATATTATATCTCACTCGATAATTTACAACGTAACCAATATTCCTGCAATAA